CATCATATATTTTTAGCAGCGTGAACGACAGTTAAATTTGTAAAATTAGATTCAAAATTTAACAAAGTTGTTCCATTTAGAAGATAAAAGATAAAACTTGAAATTTTTGATTTCGACATTCAGAACTCATTCAGAGCTCGCGAATTTCTCTATTCGTTATTGATCGATATTTCTCCATAACCTTCCTTACCATAAAAAATTACCTTCCCTTTTTATCACCCCTATCCCGTCTTAATCAATTTCTTAAATTTCCTCTTCCACGCCACATACCTCCTTTCTCCACCTTCCATTATCGGCGAGCCGGAGCTTTACCGGCTCCATCATCCCCTACGTGTATGCTCGCGACACGAGAAAATTCGTTCGAGCCACCCTATCGATTTTATTTTTCCTCTGTGTGTGTTTCATATTTTCTGACATCGCGTCGAACGTTAACGAGATTCCGCTTGTATCCCCTTTTAACGTCACTTGGCCGTTGCGCCAAGCAAATGGCGATTCTCCATATTCATACGATCGTTACAGGGCAAACCTCTTTCCCGTCCCGAAACAGAAAAGAAAAAAAAGAAAAAAGAAAAATTCGTCCCGATTTATCGAACGCTACTTTGAAAAAGCGGTGACCGCGGTGTAATCCAACGCGTGTCTCTGTCCATTATCAATATTATGGATCGAGCGACCCAGTAACCGTTTCTCCTTCCACCCTCCTTCCACCCACATCGCGGAATCTCGACACGAGAAACGGACAGAGAACTCGTCGTCGAATTCCAATAATGATCTTCGGTTTCACAATGAAATATCGTTGCTAGTTACGCGCACACATATTCGCGCGTGACCACAGTGACGACTACGGTTTCGAGGAATAGGTGGCGATACGGTTTCCGGGGATAAAGTGGCGGCTTAATGGATTCGCGAGTGGCGCTGCTTCGGATGTAAATGGAATCCGCCGGATTTCTTTGATGAACGCGCTTCGTGACAAACGACGGAACGATGATTCCTTCTTTCTTGCATTTTCATATCGAAAAAACGGGCGCTCACGAATTTCTCTTCTCTTCTTGAAAAGTCGCGGCAAAAGAAACCGTGGCGTGCAACGTCGTTCGCGCGGAAAGGAAGAATTAGAAAATAACAAACACACCGCGTGATAAATCGTCCCCTATGATTAATCACAAACTGACCCTTCCGCCCCTTCGTTCCACGGAATGAAATTCCGACAGGAAACGCCGCAGGAACGCGACTCGATAACACCGTGCCACGTTATTTCTCGGCGAGGTGGAGGAGTAACGTGGTATAGCAATCACGCATTCGTGTTTACACGAATTCGTCCCGCGGGGAGGAAATTCCTCCCCCTCCTTATTTTTATATTTTTAACCTATCGCGACTTCTAAATACAAAATCCAACGTTCCATCCTAACATTCCTCCCTCGCTTGAATTCCCATCGATTCTTGCGCTAAGCCCCTTCTATTCCCTCCCTTCCCAGGATACACGTTTTTGATTTAACGTCGTCGCGGACGAGGTTTCGAATCGTCGAGGCCGCGTGACATTAATAATTAATGCGGATGGGGAGGGAGGTTTGCACGAGCGATTGGCTGAGGTGGAGATTGGGTGTAGACGACACGACGGTTTATAACGACGAGGATATAAAAAGAAATACGAAGGTGGAAGTACGAAGGGGTGAGCTCACCTATTTTGCAAGTTCGAATACAAGGGAATATAGGGGGAATAAATACACGAGGCGGTCGTTTTACAGCGTGTTTTTCGTACGTGTACACGGTGGCGGTTGGAAAAGATCCAAGGGTTCTTTCTGGAATGTTTCCAGAAGCATTTTCTTTTCGACGTTTTAATTCATTTGTCAATTACACCACCGTACCGCCTTACGGTAAGGGAATAAACCCTCTTAATGACTGCGTATCTTGTGCGACTTTCGCTGTGAATTTTTCGCTCGAAAAATACTTCGCTTTACGCGTGGCTCGAGGGAGCGGTTCTTACGACGATCGACGGTAAATTCGGTTGGAAGAGATGTAATTACGGAATTGAATTTTAAATTTTTCGAATAATATATACGCGTGTTATCCCTGATAAATAATGCTTCCTTGGAGAAATAATGCGAGGAACGAAGTGGGGGAAGTCAGCTTCTAACCTGTATATATACGACTTTCGAGTAAAACCGGCAAGAGTATATCCGTATATAGATATTTGAAAACTGTCGGGTTGAAAATCATAAGTCTGCCGCGTAACGATTTACAATTTTCCCGTTTCAATTTTTCCTCAAAGGAAAGGAAGGAAGAACGAAACTCGATGGATATAATGCCAACGCAGTGGGAGGATAATAACGAAGAATAGCCATCTCGCGGCCGTATACAAATTTATACGAAAAAGGGTCAAAATCGTTTCTCGTTTTATTCGGAAGAAGGAACAGGAACCCTTCTATCGAACATCAACCGTGGGAACCGTGGAGGAAAATGAGATCGAGAGGGGGATTGGAACGAGCCGATGGACGATTCACGCAGCAGCCACAAAAAGAAAGAAAGAAGAAAAAAAACTATCCTTTGCATTTCTCGCCGCGATTCGATTTAAGCACGGACAAACGTTCGATTGGCGGGGATCCGGGCTTGTCCAAGAAGATTGGATCGTATTGAAAGCGGGAGGGATCTTGGAATTGGAAGGCCCTTCCATCCCTTCCACGCGTGATGAAGAAGTGTCTGGAGGGTATATATAAAACGGTGTACCGAATCACTTACCTGGTATTGGATTGCCATGCGACCCTTTCCGGTCATTCCGCCGGCCGAACGCGATCGACAGAGACGAGGCCGGATAAATTATTGACCTCGACTCGATCTCCCCGCCTTTTCGCGGCTTGAATACCGAATGCGCGCTCGAATTTTCATCCAGGGAGCGGGATGAGAGGGATGAAACAGAAACTCGTCACTCACCGTTAAATACACTTTTTCCCTCGCTACCGTTCCAAATGCCACGCTGTAAATCCAACGTGCTCGTATTATGCATTCAGAGGGGACATTGATGAACGACAGTCTCTTGTTTCCTCGCTTCTCTCGCCCCACTTTTCCCAATCGCGTCGCGTCCAAAAGTTTCCAATGATCAATAGTCGAAAAATGCAACGCGGCCGATCAATGCCGCGATGCAACGCAACCCGTTCACACTCTTCCGATGTCGTTTTCCATTCGCGTCTCCTTTGTGCCCTTTCCATCCAGAGATTCGACGGATGAATCGTCGGTTGTAACGCTTCGTATCTTCTCGTGTCTTTTCTTTTTTTTTTTTTTTTTTTTTCTAATTTTGCAGACTCTTTTCTTCCGCTAGAAACGCACCGGTTTTGAATGGCGTTATTGGCGACCGATTGTCTCCTCCACAACGAAATTCTTTTCGTCCATCAATCTGACTTTGTCTTTTGATCGAGTGATTTAGCGTCGTGATCGGGATTTCGTTGGATTTGGACGGCACACCGTTGGAAAATCATTTATCATCCTTTTACTCTACTTTTTGTCTCTTCCTCTAAATTTTCTCTCGATACTTGGAAATTCAGATCGGAAGACTGAAATTTCCTTCGAAGGAAATAGAAAAATTCGTCTCAATCGTCATCAAAAGTTAGATCATTCTGAATGAAAAAAGTATAATTATATAATGACTTAATTTTTATAAAATATTCGTTCAATTCGTCCGTGCGAACGGGAGGATATTCGAATATTTCGTGTTCGAGAAAAAATTTCGATAAAATTTTAGGATTACGCGAAACGTTTTTTTTTTTTTTTCGTAGTGCGCGATTGCAAAAGCAAGTAAGAAGATTCACCGTAAAATTAAGAGTTTGCGAAGGATCTTTATATTGGGTCGTTTAACGATGAAGAGACTAACAAGGAAGAAAAATAAGGGAAATGAATGTGGGATGTTCATTCTCGAATCGGAGAACCAGGTTGGAAAGAAAATTAAATCGTCGACGGAATCACCGATAATAATTTCCATCTTTCTGATTCGATTCTGGATCATAAGTCGATCCGTGAATGAGGTTGATGAAGTCGTATAAGAAATTCAACCGGAGTAATGCTCTCCGCATTTCGCAATTTAACTTAATCACAGATTGAACATCTGTATTTTTTGCCGCGGGATCTTTCGATGAAATTGAATTTTATTTACCCTTGTTCGCGCTAATCAACGGGACAATACGATATTCCGTTGATTCGCATGATGAATTATATTATTTCTATCCGATACGGGAAACAGGGGTCGTTATTTTCGATGGGCTCGATATTTCAACTGCGTCTATTCGAATGAATAAATGGAATCACAGTCGGACGATTTTTAATATAACCGGATGACATTTAGTCGTATGGATTATTGTGAATGATGTCGAGGGAATTTTATCGGGGAGCGTAAAGCCCCTTCTCTTGAATTTAATATCGGGAATTTTTGTTGCTTGTTCTCGTCGACGGAGGTAAAAAAGTAGACGGAAATATGGGAAAAATGTCAATTACATTGACGGTTTTTGGTCGAAAAGTTCGGGAACTTTGTGTCTCTGGCTAGCACGAATCACGCTTGCTTCCGCTTTCCCCTCTTTCGTTGCCCTCTGTTGCACCGGTGGAACGAAATCAAAGAAATAACGAGGTTAATAAGGGAGCGTAATATCGAAGGGGAGATGGTAAGGTTATTCGTGCTAGGCACGATCCTTTACGTTTCATTCATATATTTCGAAGGATGATACTCCGGGCCTACGGAATTGTTCGTAGAAATTGCATCGTATCGGTGAATTTGAAAGTTCCAAGTTTTCTGCACGGAATCTCGAGCAAGTAATAAATCCATTTAACCGTATTGTATACAGAGGTAAAATTAAATTTTCAATTTTAATAACAATTTACTTGGCAATAAATTCACTTGGAAAAATAATTTTCGAATTCTGGAACTTTTGTTCGGAATTATCGGAATCATGGTAGGTAATAAATCATTTTAGTTGCCTCTATGAATCGTGGAACTATTGGACAGTGACTTATCACGTTTCACTTACCAAATATAGGATTCCCACGATGCGTTGCTAAACCACCAAGCGTGAGTACGTGCGAGTGATCCGCCGTCACGACGAGAAGCGTCTCTGACAAGTCCACTTCCTTCATCACCGCCCTCACAGCTTCCTCCAGAGCCAATGTTTCGTCCAACGCTCGATAAGCATTGTTATAGTGATGCGCGTGATCGATTCTGCCACCTAGAGACAGACAAATGGTCCTTTCCCGTTTAATCATACGTCTGACAAAGAGAAATTAGTACAAAGACGGATTGTAATGAACAAATTGACAGATATAAATGAGAAATTTTATTTTATAATATCGATAGAAAAAAGACATCGTCGAAAAGGATACACGGAATAATTTGAAAATGATTAGAATAAAATTTTGTGAAGATGAAAATTGTATTGAAAATTATTGATTCTTTTCGTCACGAAGAATTTTGTATATTTACCTCGAAACGTCGTTGATAAAAACATCGTCACTGGGACTGCTTATGATGTGAACGATATCAATTTCAAAATTTGTAAATATTATTTATAAAGCAATAAATTTCGATTGAAAAAGATTCTCGAATTAAAGAAACACTCAACCATATGATATAAAACACTTTTCCATTGAACTACCTAACCAACAAGTTTTATTCAGTTGAGAATCAACTTTAGATGCACTTTGAAAAACTCTCGACGCGAGTAACTTTAAAACCAATATTGTCACTTCGTAGGAAGCTATCCTATAATCGTATTAACGACTTTAATATTTTTTAAGTATACTTTTGAATAAACTTTTAACTTTCTAAAAGCATCTAGGTGCAGATGTTATAAATAAAAAGATAAATATATATTCCTAATATTAAATATTTTGTACACGTGCTGAAGAATATTAAAGACATCATAAAAAGTGAATTTTAATCCAAACGAGAATTATGTCATTCTTGCTACATTGATAAATGTAATTTTACTTCTTTTACTATATTTAATAAAAATTATAAATATCATAAATACTACATATAAATATATATAAATGAAGTTTTAAAATCAAAGCATATCTTGTCTACTCTTATTATATTATAAATACGTATTCGTTATTTTTTGAAATATCACATTTTATAGGAAAAACGTTTAACTTTTAATGATTCGTAATGATTCAGATTTTACATACATCCATGATAGCGAATTGAGAAAATTATTTTGAGAAAAAATTTTCTATGCCGTGCAATTATTATGAAATTCACGTTTAATAATACTAGAAAATTCATTTGCTTTCTTTTATTCACTTTGTCAGCACTCTATAGACAATGAAAACCGAGAAAAGGAACGAAAACGACGATGAAATTACAAAGGTAGGAAACGAGCATCATCAGCATTACCGTCGAATTCGCGTTTGGTAAAACACCACTGTACTTAACGCTAATTATTCAACGACGATCCACAAGAATTCCAGATTCAATTACCGAGCTAGCAAACGACACGACGCTGAATCCGGAATAGATTACTGAAAGTTCAACTTGAAGTTGAACGCGTCACTTAGAAACGATCCAAAATGGCCGAATCGATATTCGATATATGCGGTGGCGCTCTATAGTGACAGTGAAGGTGAGCATATATACAAGATGGCGGAAATTGAATCGAAAGCGTGGAATCGGATCAGTTCCAGGACGAATCGAAGCAATTGGGGATAAAACGGGACAGAAATTCGACCTTAGAGTATCACGCTAAAAGGTTCAGTAGTATTCGGTATCATTTGGCTCAGCCAGACGGCGCCGTGGCTAACTGCAATGATCCGGTTTTACGGTCGAACATTAATTCTGTCTCGATCACGTTACGCGGAAATTGTGAATGAACGTGTTGTTTGTGTAATATAATATATATTGTAAATATATACTGTTTCGAACGATGAAGAACATTTACGATATGGAAAATATTGAACGAAATAAAGAAGATCGTGTGAATAATGCAGACAAGGAAAATTAATACATCGATGACGTATCGTATTTCGTAGCAAGAATCGAGGTAAGCTTATTTTTCGATTAACACTTGAAGTAATCAATTTTACATTCGAAAAAGAATTTTTATGCATATATTTAATAATTGTTTGTGAATCTTTCTTATGATAAAATACTTGATATTTAAAGATTTTGATAACTACTAACTACTACTAATCTATATATAACATCTATATATAAATCGCTTATCTTGTATATCTTATGTTTTACGAACATTTACGATTAAAGATATAATTATTTCAAACTATTGCGTCAAATTTAGCCTTATTTCAGTATGACATTATTATAGTTGCACTATCGAAATTGTATCAAATTTGTCAATCCATGCGTTATAATAGAATCATAGAATATGAATATGAGTATTCATACTACATCGTGTCTCTGTATGCATCATGTGATTCAGTCTTTCTCTACGTTAGTGGAAATAATTGCAGGATCGGAGTTAATTACTAATACATCATTCGATACGAATATTAATTTAATTTATTCATATAATTTTTAAATAATTCTACTCAAAATAATATCAAAAATAATAAAAGATATATTTATATTGAAGTGTATTTTAATTTGAGAATATATTTATTTCTTAATTGAATAGTTTTCACTATAATTTTTTCAATTAACAATATTATATAACTGCACGTTGAAAGAATATCGTTTCGTATCAATGAATAATTATATAACTACATCGATTGTTATCCGTGAAATATTTTTGCTTCTGTTTATTGCAGCAAACGTTATTCCAATAAATCACCAGTTGCAATAAAACACGAACAACTACGTTTACCGAATAACCCACTGAGTAAAACGATATTTCTGCCTGAATATTTCCACAAATATCCCCAATCGTTGATCTTACTGCTATTGTTTCGCATTATTTTGAACGTATTCTCTGAAGATTACAAAATACGTCAAATGAATCGCCTTAAAAGTGAAAATGGCGATTCGTAAAAAAAGATATTATACTTTTTTTTTTAAATATATTTCATGAAATTATACATCATTTCTATTTTCATCTAAGATATGAAATATTATATAATATATACATATACGTGTTAAAACACGTATGAATTTGTAATTTGTATAACGATATACTATTATTATTAAACATTTCTTCAGAATGAAACGTTCTACAGTGTTATAGATATGTAGACTGATTTGAATAAAAAAAAATTAATAAAACGGAAAAAGTGATTCTGAAAATATTACGTGTAACGATTCTTTTGGGATTGAAACTCGTATTATAATATAATATCCAAGTGCCAACAAAAATTATTTCGAGAGATTAAAACGCGAAAAATTTTTATTTTTCATTTCTACAGCATTCCACTGTGAATTTAATTTCATCGATTATACGTGCACAGCCCGTGATGAAAAGTTTTAATACGCTCATAATGAAATTAAATGATAGTAGTGCGCATTTTGGTAGCAAATGAAATTCGTTGTTTGTAATAATCGGAAAAATGAAAATTTAAGGTGCAACAAGGATAAATTCGAAATAATATCGCATTATTTTTCATTTATTTGATTTCAAGCAATTTACAGAAATATGTATGAGTTTTTTCGTTTTATTTTCATAAATACATTGGATAATAGAATTCTTTTCGCTATATAAAAAATATTATTACGCTTTTGTTTAGAAATAGAGATTCGGTACTTTTAATTGGTTTTCGCTGGTATTTGAAACACGACAGCAACGTGAAATTCTACTATTGGTCACCAGTACTGTTATTGAATAGAACAAAGCTGTTTGTAAAAGTTATTCTACTGAAATCTTACCGAATACTTTTTATTCGATTAAATTAATTTTAATTAGCAATTAAATTATTTTATATATACATACATCTACGTTATGAAAATCGTTCAAAATAGATTAATATTTTTCACGAGAAAATTGATATCAAATAATTTTAAAATCCGATTGGATTAAAATTATATTATATATGAAAATTCATGAATAGAGAATAAAGCAGCTATTGAAATAATCTTTTGTTTCAAATAGATATGATTTCACTGACTGATAAACTGAAAATAGCATTATTTGCAATTAGTCAAAGAATAAAGAAACGACCTAATTTGCATTTGAATTAAATTCCAGTATTTAAGAACCCTATAGAATTAAGATCTCGAGAAGAGATTCGCAGAATGCTCCGTAATGAACGTGCTTATTCGAACTAATGTCGCTGCTCCTTCCTTCCTGTCCGAATTTCAGAATTTTAATCTGAGCAATCTGTGAACGATGTGACCGATAACTCATTCTAATACGTCGATTTATATCGATCTATTAATCGTATATATTAATCCTTGTGGATCTGAATATTTTATTTTTTGAAAAAAAAATATATATATATATATAATTATTCCATGCGTTTCGAAAAATTAAAAAAAAATTTCCTCTAGTAATCGCCCGATCTAATTAAAATCGAAAAAATATGCAAATGATCATCCTTTTTACTCGTTTCTCCATTTTAATTTCCATGCTTGTGATTTTTCATCCATCGAATATATTCCTCTCGACTTTTCTAAATATGTTGACGAAAATAGATTCTTGACACGACAGAAATGACAGGATGGACGAAAAAGAAACATTCTAAATTGGATTTCTCTTTCTTTTATTTTCTTTTTTTTTTTTTTTTTTAATGCAAACTGACCACTCTTGAACAGCGCTCGTCCAAGCTGGCACAGTTTTCCCAGGGATGCTCATTTTTATTCAACATAAAATTAGACAAATTCTCGACGAGAAAAAGCTAAATTTCTCCCCTTTTTCCGTTTATACGGATTGTTCAGAATTTCCATGTGGACTCCGCCGTAATCGCGAAATAAAAGTTGGCTCTGGGAGCTCGATGGTCGCGATTTGGGCAAAAAATTAAAAAAAGGGAGTGAAAAGAATGGTAAAAATCTGGTGAAACATAATTTTGACTAATAATAAAAATGTTTCATCAATTATCTACCGGTGAGCTACAGAATTATATTTTATGCCTCGTGTTTAATTTATAATTATTATTTGATGAATAAATTGTTGTGTGTTGTGACAAATATTCACATTTGTTCAGTTATTTACGAACATAAATTTAGAGAGTTATTTGCAGAATTATTCTTATCATTGTTATAAAAGCACAAGAATGACTTCAATAGCTGGAATTCCAAAATACGTAACAACAATGAGTCAACAAATCACTTGTTTGATAAATGACCATGATTCTTGTTTCTTTGACTTGATAATATCATTATACGACTTGAAAAAAATTTGAATAAATTAAATATTATAAAAATCAAAATACTTTTCCCATATATTTTTGTAAACGGAAAGGAAGGAATACTTTTATGAACGACAAGTAGAATTTTTGTATAGGATTAAAATTTTGCATAAATATTTATACATTTTTTGTATTTATTATTATTTCCGAATCAATGATGTCGTGCCAAAACTCGTCTACATTTTCCAACTACTAACAGGCAGCAACAGTTGTCACGATAGGAAACTTTGGATCCAGATTTCGGTATCTACTACAAGGCAACCGATGTTGAATTCCAGAAACGGAAGCAATTCTCGAATGAAGTTTGAAGGAGGAACACCATCGTGCACGATAGTGCAATTTCATGATGAATCACGATAAAATGTATTTCGTGGAAATAGATAATTTTAACTTCGCGTTTAATTTACACTTTTAAATATAATCGAATCAGTCGTGCAATATCATACGAGTGAATCATATTTAAGATCAAGAATCAATATCAAGTATTCGTATTGCCACGCTATGAATAAAGAAATAATGAAAATCTTTGCGACGAATTTTTAAATTCCCAACTTATTATTTCAAGATTACTCTTTTTTTACGATATTCATATTTCTTTCTTTCAAACATAGTTTCCCCAGAAATTCCACTCCGGTCGCAAATTTTCTTCCCATTTCTCTTTTCTTTTCTTTCTGTCTATCTACATTTTCCTGCTTTCGGAAGGAAATTATAATTTTATTTTAATGTAGAACCGGTGAGAACGGGTAAAGAGGCAATTATTATTCCATCTGCGAACGACGAAAATACACGGCGAAAGAGTCCACGGTCACGAAAATGGCTGGCTCAGCGGTCTCTTCGTGGCTCGGGTGGGGCGGAGAAATGGGGGGATGGAAGAAAAAAGTGTATCTTCGTACAAGTCGAGAAAACGTTTTTCCCAACTACGAAAGAACGTGAGATGTACATACCGGTTACCAGGGGCGGAAAGCTATAAACTCGATAAAGTACAGAACGCTGACTCAATCTTCGTGCAGGGAACTCGCGTTTCCCTATTCTCAAAAGGAATACTCTCTCTTTCGAGAGAGAGAGAGAGAGAGAGAGAGAGAAAGAGTATTAGCTCAATCGTATTTCACCGTCGAGGAATTTCAATTATGTTGCGCCGATTATAGAATTTTAACGAGATGACGATAAGTCGTCACGCGAATTCTTCGAATTTTTAGTAATTTTGCGCAACGTTTTAACTCCATTCGAAACAACAGACACATAAAAAACATATTTCCCTTTAATTGTGGGGAAAAAAAATAATAAACTATTGGAAAAAAGTATCGTAAAATAAACGAGATTGCTAATGGAAAGGGATTATATCGTGCCATTTAAAGTTCGGGATAAAGAGAACAATTTCTTTTTCTTTCTCCTATAAACGCAACGGTTCGACAAAAGGAACTATTCGGTGAAACATTGGAATAATACATCTCCTTGGTGAAGTTCGAAGTCCCTTTGTTCGTACCTACGTACCTTCCACGAAAAGGAAATATCCTTCGGGATTTTTGGCCAGTATACGAAGCGCCTTTATCGTCATTTCGGCCAGTGACGGGTCACCGCTTCCGTTCGTGTTTCGATCAACGTCGAAGTCCATATGGGAATAGGAGAACAACCCTGGAATGATTGAACAATATGAAATCACTGATTTCCTGTCGCGGGAAAAATTTTATCGATTCGTTCCCCTTTTGTGAACGAATTTGGAATTTAATTTCTTTCGTAATTATGTTAATTTTCTACGATAATTTTAACGATGCCGGGTGAATGCAAGTGAAATGTTTTCTCTTCTTTTTTCTTTTTTTTTTTTTTGTTTTCTCTTCTATAAAACCGCGTTTCACTCGATTATTAATTGTCAGCCAATAATTTGCTTATTAGACAATCTTGGAAGGGAATCAACAGTTCTGATCAATAGGCCAAGTGTAATCTCAAATTGAAACGTTACGCCGTTCATAATTAGGGCGGACTAACTAACAGCTAACTGCATCGAAGCATTAATCGTGCAAGATCGATAATTATCTAAAGGTACAATGCACGGTATTATTCAGTCTTAATTATTCCTGTATTGTTTTCTTTCTTTCTTTTTTTTTTTTTTCTAATTCGAATCGTAAAAACTTTCATCATATACGACTCTCTTTGTATACCTGAATGATACCGAAATGAATGATATCAAATATATTGGATAAGAAAGTTTAATTCAGTTATATTTTTTTAAAAAGGAACCGTTTCAACGTAACGATGCAATCACTATCATTTTTCGGTATTGAGATTAAATTTCGTTTCGTTTTGATAAATCGCTTTTTCCTTATAAGAAATATAGAAAACGTATTTTTCATTCGTTACCCAACAGATGGTTCACTTTCCGTGGATCGACGCTCTCGAATTGCTCCTTGTTAGCCACGTATTTCGCGGCCACGTTCCGCAACCGATGGTTTCTCGACCATTCTTCGATCAGGTTCCTTCCGTCCAATCGTCTTCCTTCCTTATCCGGCTCTTCCGGATCCTGGATCACTTTCGGCACGAAATGGCGTCTACCTCCGCCGAGTATCACCTACGATCGACCATGATTCATTAACATTATATTTCACTCGATAAATTATTATTTCTCACGATACATTTCATTCAATTTTTTTTATTTATAATTTATTTAAATCAATTTAAAGTTTTCAATATATAATTAATACGATGATTGCAGACAATATTCTTGCAAAAATAAACGTATCTCATAATTTGTGTTTACTCTTTAAAACGCTTTTTCATTTATTTTGATATATTTACTATTTCCATCCTCTCGTTTCATTGATCTACCTCAAATGATAAACACTACTTGAAAGATATGGATCACGGACATCTCTCATTCATATTTTTCACATCTTAAACATTCTTGTTGATTTCTTATCTCATCCTACTATTTTAATAATATCTTTGTAAATATTTGAACACGTTTCAGCTATACAAAAATCAGCAGTCTAATCGTCGTTATCGCTTGCGTTGTAACCCGCATCGAATTTCCTCCAATAATCGGATTTAAATTTAAATTTGAACGGGATTAACATCGAAACTTTGATTTTCATTTTCGAACCTTTTATTTTCCTATATTCCCGTTCCTTTGGTCGCGCGTGTTTGTGTTCCATCAGAGAGCGTGATCCCAAAAGCAATTTTGTAGAATTTCAAAGTCAACCGAAAGGGAATAGTCTTCTCGTTCATCCGTAAAATTTTCCATTTCGGTGATTACAGCTTTTTCTTTTCTCTTCTTCTATTTTTTATTTTTGTTTCACGGATAGCTTGAAACGGAAAGTCACATATAAAAAGGATTACGAGCACGCGACCTACATTGCACGCTTTTTATATTTTAATATCGCCAATGAAAGACACGTAGGATACGTTATGCGATATTTTCTCCCTTTTTTCAGAACATTCTATTGTTTTGGATCGAATAGTATTATTTCTCGATATGACAAAATGAATTTAATCGAATAAAGATATTTCTATAATTCGTTGTAAAATATTCCTATCTTTTAGCCGATCGAACCGACATTGTTTTCTTATTTCGACCCATTTTTTTCGTAAGAATTTCGTTCAGGATTTCGTTCTTTTTACAAGAAAACTATAATGCAGATAATATCGACACAAGGGATATATGTCAAATTAACAAGTAAGTAATTAACAAGAAATTGTTACGTTTCGTTTTTCGTCAATTATTTGAAATGTTAATTACTCCCGGTATGATTCTGATATTTCGAAAGCTAAAAGGTTGATCGAAATTCTACTTTCCCGGATAAACAATTAAAATTACGGTGGATGTTAATTAACTCGATGGAACATCGAAATTTAACCGTGTTATAACGTATCATTTCGAGGCTGTAATTAAACGCGGAATAGACATTGAATTTTCAAAATTTTGCCGCTCCCTCCTCCATCACCAAAGATAAAAATAAAAGATTTATTTCCTATAAATCCTGGAATTCGCTGGAAAAGTCATCCCCCCCCCCCCGTGGACTTTTAATTCCCCTTCTAATTCCGACTCAACAAACCCTCTCCCGGAAGCAGACTTCAACGAGAACAGAAAGTTTTGCATAGAAGTTCCGTATAAAAGGTCTTGATCTCTCGAGTCAACTTTTTTCAACCATTTACGTCCCCACAAAAACATCGTTCGGGGTCTTGGCCACGGCTGTACCCTAAATCCTAACTTCTGGTTGATTGAACCACCGCATCTTCCTGCCAGAGTATCGGCTCTTCATCTCCTCATCTTGCTCGATCTCGATCGAAAGTTCGAGGATACGTAACGTTATCTCGTAGTCGCGGTTTTTAACCAAGTTTCGGAGAGAGTCAACTTCATATCGGATACAGTTCGATTCGAAGATCGTTATCTGTCTTTCGTTTCGAAAGGATTTCAACGGAAAATAACGAGGATGAAAAGATTTGAAAGGTAAAAGTTTAAGAAAGAGTTGCTAGGTAAAGGTTATAGCCCCTCTTCCTTATTTAAGATCGTTTTCGATGAATAAAGTTGTTCAATTTCCGACTGCAACGTTTCGAAACATTTCTGTCACGATCTTGCGAAAACGTGACTGCGTGACGAGGAAAACTAAATTTTCACAAATTCTCGAGTTTGAAACACGAAATCCTCAAAATGGGATTAGAAACTCGATGTGCAGCTTGTGGAAATACGATTAGAAGGTAAATTCTTAACGCGATAATAAACATAATGCAAGAACGATAAAACTACTTGATTCGAGAACTGACATAATTTGCACACGAATGATACATTCCTCCTAATGGGATTAAGCTTGGGGTTGCCGAGAAACCTTCAAGATTTCTCGAACAATTAATTATCCTCGTCTGACGAAACTCAAATTTACTCGGGATTATTACTTCGTTAAATATTTCTCGAAATTGATAAAAAAAAGTTTTTTAACCGTTGAAGCTATTCCAACAAATACAAATTATGAGTCGAACGTTGTGCATCTCACGTAACGAAATCTATTTCGCCGTGGAGAGATCAATTTGAACGCGCTCGACTCGTTCGTTGCACGGGATCGATGCGGCATGTAAAACGTCGCCGATAAATCGCCGAGTGGAAGGCACGGGTTGTTGCTTCCCCGAAATCTCTTTCCTCCCGCACGATACCCGCTTTAATCCGGGATTTTTAACGTTTCTTCTCCCTCCTTCGTTCGAATATTTTCGAATACGCGGACCAATTTTCGCGCACCGACACACGAATATGCGAATAACATTTCGAGTCGGGACGATCCATACAATTCAATATAGAGATATATCGTAAATTTTAAATTGGATTAAGCTGTAACATTCCAGTTTTGATAAAAGATATCACGGGTATCCATATCGGTATTTTTATTTATATCTATATCTTTTCCTTTTTTGATAGATTAATGATAGATTATTACTATTATAACTATTAACTTTGATGATGATTCAACTCGTGATCTTGCGTTGTTGCGTAAGTTGTGTAAGAACTTTTTTTCGAAGAGGAAGAAGAAAAATTATCAACGAGAAAAAAAGTGAAGTTGAATCGTTGAATCGTGTATCGATGGTTTAAATACATATATATATATATATAATATATACATATACATATATATATATATAATAAAATACAAATTATTACTCGAAATTGATAAAAAAAAGTTTTTTAACCGTTGAAGCTATTCCAACAAATACAAATTATGAGTCGAACGTTGTGCATCTCACGTAACGAAATCTATTTCGCCGTGGAGAGATCAATTTGAACGCGCTCGACTCGTTCGTTGCACGGGATCGATGCGGCATGTAAAACGTCGCCGATAAATCGCCGAGTGGAAGGCACGGGTTGTTGCTTCCCCGAAATCTCTTTCCTCCCGCACGATACCCGCTTTAATCCGGGATTTTTAACGTTTCTTCTCCCTCCTTCGTTCGAATATTTTCGAATACGCGGACCAATTTTCGCGCACCGACACACGAATATGCGAATAACATTTCGAGTCGGGACGATCCATACAATTCAATATAGAGATATATCGTAAATTTTAAATTGGATTAAGCTGTAACATTCCAGTTTTGATAAAAGATATCACGGGTATCCATATCGGTATTTTTATTTATATCTATATCTTTTCCTTTTTTGATAGATTAATGATAGATTATTACTATTATAACTATTAACTTTGATGATGATTCAACTCGTGATCTTGCGTTGTTGCGTAAGTTGTGTAAGAACTTTTTTTCGAAGAGGAAGAAGAAAAATTATCAACGAGAAAAAAAGTGAAGTTGAATCGTTGAATCGTGTATCGATGGTTTAAATACATATATATATATATAGGTATATTCGAACAATATATCGATCTAATAATTTGTATTTTTAATCAAGAGAAAAGTTCAATCCGATTATATTTTCGTAAATAAAGAGTCACTTTTGCCCGGCAAGGATATATTAAATACCTTATTAAGCGCGCACGTTGAATTATTCATGGCAAGTACATGTTTGCCCAACTTTCAATATCGGACGGTTTACGGTTCGTTGATTATTGAATTATGATTAAATCATAATTTATATCATCAAACTTGCACGGAACTGCTTTTCCCAACCCAAAATCAAAATATCCTTAATCCATTTTCTCCCTAAAAGAAGAAAACAGAAAAAAAAGGGAAGAAAAAGGTTGTGGTGTACAAATTGGAAGAACGATTTCACGTTCCAATTTCGCCCTCTTCGTATCGAAACCTTAAAAGGAAAGAGCAGGATCGTTAGAAATTTCCTGCGGGCAAAGGTCTCGAATTCGAAAGCCGCTTCCGTTCGATCCCTTCCACGGTGGAATCGCGACTCCTCCGAGGAAATCTTTCCACGAACGACGATGAGAACGGCGTAGAAGAGGAGAAGAACCCTCGATGTATTAACATCGGGGAAGGGAGTAAAAGTTTCGAAGGTTTAAGGTTCGAAATGCGTAATCCCGTACGTTGATGTTACGGCCGGGCTCATCCTCGAGCAGCTGACGCGCTATGTCCTTGCACGATGTTCGTGCAGCAGGTGGCACTTTGCCGTCGTCCTCCCAGTAACGGCTGGCTGCGTGGGCGTAAAGGGCCGCCGGTGTCGCGTGCGTCACCCTCGTGGTCGTAACCAATCCTGTCGATTTGCCTAGGAAAAAAAAGGGAGGATTTTCGTTGAAAAAGATTCGTTCAAAAATTCTTTCTTTTCTCGTACAGCCGGGAATAATAATCGAATCGTGAACGAATCGAACGGGCATCCGCAGATTGCTTGCCATTAAGCCCTAATATACGTTTCATTTCCGTATAATTACCGTCTCCTCGTAACGACACGCCCGTTCCACTCGTTCCGTGTAATTAAAAATAAGTTTAACGTTAAAAGTGAAATGTAAAAAAAGAAATCGTTAGGATCTTATAATAAACGGCAATTCTTGCCTTGTCTCCTCCCTTGTCGAAACGAGTGAACGAATAATCGATATGGGAAGAAAGAAGTGGAAGAAAGTTCTTCCAACAGGCTTTCCAAATGAATTCGAGATCGAGAGAGAGTATTTCGATCTCCCAATATCTTCTTAACCCTTTCGCTTCTCCGCACATGCACGGTGAGAAAGAGCCGCGTTTACGCCTTCGAGTCGCTTCGACGGTGTTTATTGAAAAAGAAAATTGACGATGAAAACGAAATATCGATGCTACATACTACACAGAGAAAGATACTCGATGAAAGGGTTTCTTCCATCCGCGGGATATGTTAACGCGGGATCGAGGAGTTTGCCACGCGAGGATCAATGTTCCCGTGGAATTAGCAATCACGGCGCAGCACGTTAATCGGCTCTGAGATCAGCAGCGTCTCGATACACGGGCCCTTCATCAAATCCTCGCTCTTGACCCTTTGATCTTGGCATCTCGCTCTTCAATTATGATTTAACTATGACTCCACATTTCTCCACATCCGTCGAGATTGAGGGAAATTGTTAACGGATACGCACTTGGGATGAATTGAACGGATGCAAGGATACACACGCGTCCTTGGAGAATAATATCTCGAGCTTATCTTGTATTTTTTAAAAATCCATGCAAAAGTTCAAATTTCTTCCGCGACGCGATTCATTTTTTTTATTTTTTTTTTTCCAAATGGAAGAATTTCGTTTTCTTTCTTTCTATTTTTTTAGATCACGTTCCACGTTGTTCCAAGAGAATCGACGAAGGAAAGTTTAAACGCGCGGTGGGATATTAAGTTTGGAGATTGTTTTTGACCGGCAAACGCCGCCAATTTAATTTGTTCAACCTGGACGATACTTCTCCTCTTTTTTCCTCTCCTTGTAATTTCAACTTTCCCAAAACCCTACATTCGTTTCTTTCGCCTAAGCAATTTCCGTGTTTGCCTCTCGTTCCATTATCGTAAACGTTATCGCGACGTTGGCCGAAAATAGAAAAGTGTCCAAACGCTTGGGCGAAAATTACAAACGCGTTTCGATCGTCTCGTTCTTCGATCATCCGAGTCGACAATTATCGGGGAAACGAAACGGATCGTTCGAGGGAATCGTTTCGTTCCATCAAAAAGATATTTTGTTTTTTATCCTGTTAAATTACTCGAAAATGTAAGACGAAGAAATTCCATCTTCCGAATTCGGGACGATGTCGATGTAGACTTCGAAGGGAGGGGAAGCGCGATTCGATGAAGGAACGAGAGAGAGAGAGAGAGAGAAAAGAAAGAAAGAAGAAGAGGAGGACCATTGAGCAGCGTAAACAGGCGTCGTTTTTCCGCATGCCTCGTTTATCCCGTAAAAGGAAGCATCAAAGTGTGGGATCCGCGCCTCGATGGCGATAAGATGAGGCATAATTTACATATAAACACTGAGGCAGCAAGACGTTCGCATGCAAATTAAAATAAAGCTACGATTGAATTCCTCGAGGTGGAAATTGTCGAGGAACAACGACGCACGGTTACGTACTACGGTGAGCGGATTTCACTTTTCCTCTTTTAAGCGAAAACAATTCTCGACGTTTCCCGTTCGGTTCAAGAACAATTTCGCGATACGAGACGCGTCTCGAATACTTGAAACGAGAGACATTTCAGAGATTTGCAAAATGGTTAACGGAAAACGAAAGCTGGAACCGCGGGAAAGGTGAAAAGGCTTTGTCGAGCATTCGCTTCGACTTCCGGAAATGAGCTGTTCTTCTTTGAGCCACCTCGATCTGGAAACATATCTCAAATTTTCAACGTGACTCTATTATTATATTTTAATAGGGCGAAATATTGAAACAAAGTGTCAAATTAATCGACGAAAGTATAGAAAATATAAGAAACATTTACCTTTTGTTGGAATAATTAATATTTTTATACCATGATGATATATCGTGATATAAATTTATGAAAAAAAATGAAACATTATTATCTATACGATAAAGAAACCAATGAAGAATTATGATAATTCTCAAAGAAGGAATTTATTTTTGAAAACGGACTTTGTTTCATATTCACTTTGTTCGATGACTCGATCCGTTCTCCTAAAGATAACTACGTTAATTAACGTTTGGGAAGGAAAATTGAAGATTCTCGATATAATTTTTAATTCGAAAACGCGTTACGCGTAATAATAGAAGAAGAAGAAGAAGATAATAAAAGAAATAAAAGGGAATTCAGCATCCGTTGGTTCGTAAAGTGGCTGCAAGCGCTTCAATAAGAGAAATTATTGACAAGGATGACAGAAAATATGCTTCTCTTTCGAAACGACAATATCTCGAGGGAAATGATCGTACGATCGCGAAAATCAAAGAAATTCTTGTCAAGAGAAAGATTCGAAATTTAACTCGATCATAATTTCGGAAAGATATTAATTTTCAAAGTTTCGGTAAATTTAATATTCGCGAAATTTTACTCGATCCCTTCTGAAGATCGTTCAAAGTGATTCAACTTCCTCGAGAAAAGACTTCTTTCTTTTTCTTTCTCTCTCTCTCTCTCTCTCTCTCTTCGCGTACTTTTCATCTTATCAAACGGGTTTTCTAGCGACATTATTTTTCGCGGCGAAAGTGTGCCGTTCCATCTGCGAAATTGTTCTTTATGGGTGCCGAAAAAAAAGAGACGGTCGAAGAAGAAGAAGACGTGAAACGGGGAAAACATGGAGCGAAAAGGGCCTTAATGGAAAGCCTAGATACGCCGTGTGATCCTAAACGAGACTGTGCCGAGAATCGCGGCTGGAATCTTCGTGTAACATACTTACTGTAATCGAGGAAGAATGGAATCAATAAAATCGATAAACAAAGAGAAAGAAAAAAAAATAAAAGAATAAATTTTCCATTTCTCGAGATAATCAATAATTATATCGTTGTTCTTTTCGATTGTTCACGCTGTTGGATTGATCATCGCCGTGGATGACAATTGATACAGGTTGCCTTGACGAATGAATTATCAGAGAATCGTAGAAATCAGACGTCATCGAATAAAGTTCATTTGTCGACTCTGCCTCGTAACCGAAAACTCGACTCGGGTGAATTTGCAAATTTTAGATGGTGTTAGGAACACGGTAAACCCCTCGTTGAACAGCGGACAACTTCCGTTGGAAAATTCGTCCGAACAAAAGTGGTCCCGCACCAAAATCGATATTCCGTTTAACGGAATGCATAATCGATTCAATTAGTCTCCTGCTAATTATTTGTCGAAACGAATAAATACTTGGATCAATATTCCGATAAGGATAGCTATCGATAAAGTTATTTCATTATTTTGTTCTCCCCTATCGCATAAGATAGTGAATATCCATTAATTAATCGATCGATATCATCCATTTTTTTTATTTCTTCTTTTTTTTTTATATCGATTCGATTTACAAAATACGATAAATGATCGAAAAGTGAGAGTGATTTCTAAACTTTTGTTTTCGCTTTTTTATTCGTTGACGGTGAATATTTTGTAATCAAGGGGAAAATAAATATTTGTAAATTTGCAAATTATATTACGAGTATTACATTTGGTGAATCGCGTTTGTAATTAGAATAAATACGATTGGGAATTCAAATGTAAAATATACAGCGAACGAAATATCTTCATCAGCGTTTCGAATTATTACTACTATTTATTTTCGTGATTACATTATACATCAAATTATCATTTATTTCGAAAACTTATTGCCGTAATATCGGAGATGAATGAAAGCGTTAATACCTTTAATAACTTCAATAACTGTGTTATTTTTTTATAGAACATAATGTAATATAATCTTAATCGTATCTTAATTGTCAAGAAATAATCGTTCTTTCGAGTTGAAAAAAACTTCGCTTCAAGTTTTATTTTTACGATATGATTCTTCGCAGTTATTTACAATTTATACAAACAAGACAAGCGTTCAAGTATTATATCTAATTCGAGGAGAAAAACGTGAAGGATAATTAAAGATATACTTATCTTATCTTATCTTCCCTCCTATCTTTCCGAGCTCTTTTTAAAAAACCAAGCTCTCTTTATTTCTGAAACCGGTTTATGGCCGCTATTATGCGGCCGCAATAATAGAGGCAGATCGAATGCGCAGACAATAATTGTAAATTGACAAATTGCGGCGGTAAAAGAGGGCAGAAAGCGGGGATCGGGTTGGTTACGGCGAGGAGCCGTGTCAACGGCAAACGGCGCGCGATTAATTAACGAGGCAATTCATCTTAATGATCGAGCTAAGGCAGCTTGCAGCTTTCATGCTCGCAACGTCAGACGTACAAGGTTTGGGCGCAATGTGTTTATTACTGATCTCGATGTACACGACCCGTGTGCACCCCTTGTTACATTCTATATATATATACATATAAGCCCGACGACTGATTTAACCGGCCGACTCGTTTTCGCTCGACTCGCGCATCTTAATATCTCATCGTCACGCGATATCTGTTGCGATATATATATATATAGTTTGAGCTTATATCTCTCGAATATCTCTCGGTTCTCCGTTTTTCGGTTATTTATAAGTTATAAGCTGTAAGGTTTCCGCATTCCTCGATCATTTTTCCTGGAACATTTCACGAGTCATTATGACGATTTAATAAAAATTAACGAAGGTACATTTTATTTCCAAGTGGAAAGTAAAAATCTCGTTTATGTTGCGAGATATTTCGCAACATCGCACGAAAAATATTGCGGTTAAAGTAATTAAGTATCTTGTTTTGCATCTTGTAAACGTTTGTCACCGAAATAATTGTTGATAAGGTGACACCTGATGAATTTTAAGGTTCGTCTAGATTCAATTATTTCTGTAGAATTTATATTTCCAAATTATTAGTACTTACATTCGAATTTATTCGAATATTTTTATCTTATCGAACGAATTGTATTAAATTATATTAAGATGATAAAATGGATAAGGAATGTAATTAATTGGGATCAAAGCATAATGATATCGAATCGTGTATTTTTATAAATACCATTTCCTCGAAAAACTTAAATTTATATATTTTGTAAGAAAATTAAAAGTGTCTACCGAATCGTGAAACGTGTATAGAGGAGATTTGTTCGCACAACGTAAAAATTATAGTAACGTTGTTGTTTGGAATTTTATCTGGATTATAGAGATGAAAAATTTCAATGTGCGCAATATCGTGGAACAAAGAAAATAGATTGCACATTTTTGAATATTTCGAAATGTTAGAGATTGAATATTTCAAGCTATTCAATGGTAAATAACTCGAATAAATTCATATCATATAAACGAACGTGTGAAAAAATTCTTTATGCATATTATTAAATCAAGTTTTCTTTTATTTTTATTTTTCGTAACTCGATTCGATCAAATCAATCGTTCTACTAGTTTAATTTAATCTGTTATCATCATTCTCATCGTATCATTTAAAAGTAAATAACTACGTATCATCATAACGTTATATTATATGTATTATAATTATATCATTTATACAAATTTTCTCAATGTTCAGATTAATTAATTAATTTCTATACGTACGTATCGATACAAATATATTAAAACTCGAGAAAATTATAATCGAATATTATGAAGATAAAATACAAAAGCTGCACTTTTGATCAAACACACGTAGCCACTGTGAAAATTTTTGTAATATTTTTCCCCCGTGTACATTCTATTTAGAAATTCTGAAAATAGCCGGCATGTGTTTAAACGACGAGATCGATAGGCAGGTTTCATCATCGTCGTTAAAAACACGACATCGATACCATTAGTATTCACCGCGAGACTAGTCAAAGAACCGTGATGAAAGCGAACGTGTCTCTATAGGAAAATTGAAATTATCGAACCAAGCTCCGAGCGAATTCTTTTATCGTGCACCGATAAGTACGAGAGTAATAAACCAACCGATCGAAGATCCTTATTTACGAGCGACACTACGACTCGAATAAACAAACACTGGTACTGATGCTGTCGAATCGAGCTTAATTTATCCATTTTCGAAAATGATTCGATGACACGAACTTGAAGAGCAACACTGTCGTGGTGGAAAGGAATTGATCTCTGATTGACTAATTTGGAAGGCCATTCTCACGCGCCTAGTTTCGACGATCTGTATCTATAAACCACGATGCATTAGTATAGGCAGATAGAATCCAGACAATTCAAACGTGATCGACACGATATACAAATTTTTTTACTTCTCGTAATATCTTATAGATTAATTACGATTCGTAACGATAGTTTAATTTGTAAATGTAATTTTGTATTCGAGTAATTAAGATAGTAATTGTGCATATTCGAACAAGTTATAAATGTATTCATATTGTATCAAAATAATTAATAGTTTCGAAGATATTTCAGTCTTAGATATTTTCATGAACGAAAATAATTAGAAACAGTTATCGTTTGTCATTAATTGTCGACTTAGAACCTTTCGAAAAGTCGCTATCTTTCAATTCTAATCCACTAGCGTGGATCCTCGTCGTTCGTTTTTGCATTTTCCAAAAATATCGTCCCTTCCTCTCTTCTTCCTCCTCCCAATCGCGCGATAAAACTGAATTTTCGAGCCGCGTAATGTCTAACCCGGGGAAAATGGAAAATCGAGATCGGCTAAAAGCACTATTCTGTATCGTTGACAACGAAACTTGATCGTAGCGCAGTATGACGATCCCCCCGATTGCAGCATCCCCCAGCATATACCCCTTAATATTCGTGCATGCGCGCCACAGAAATTCTGTTAATTGCTCGATACCATTCTAATGAGACCAGATTATATACCAGATGGTCCACGGGGAGCCATCGTGGCTCCCGATGTCCGATGATTTTCAACGGGTATCGCGATCCAACTCTTGCCACCATTATCTTGAATCTCGACAAAATCACTATCTCTCGAAGAAACTTTGAATTGTTACGAAATTACGATGACAATTTTTATACGTAAAGAGTTTTTAAAGAGAGAACTCAAGGGACGAAGGAATTACCAGGAGGCGAAAATGAATCGATGAAACGCGATCCCTGAATTTTTATTTAGGCCATCTCCCTATCGAATTGCGCTCTCGATCAAATTTTTGTTATTTCATTAATGAATGCGGTCGGTATTTTATTTTATTTCCCATTTCAAACATACAACCGTAACGAATTGCGAAAGCGGTTCTTTTTAACTTTTTTTTTTTTTTTTTTTTTTTTTTTTTTTTTTTTTTTTAATTCGTAACTA